TCCTTGAAGATACAATGGATTAAATCAGAATTTTAGATTTGAAAACTTCCTGAAGATTTAAGTGAAGCAAATTGATCTAGATTCAACCTTCCTTGAAGATGTAGTGAGATGAATATAAATTTAAATTCTAGATCTAACCTTCATGAAGTTGCAAAGAAACATATAGAATTCAATCTACCTTAAAGTTACAGTGGATTAGATTAATTTTCCAAGTTTATTCAAACTCAAAACCATCCCAACCAGATAAAAATGATAACATTTTAGTCTTTATTCTATTTCCGTTATACACCAATAAGGAAAGAGAGACAATTGTATTAACCTAATTTCGTCTAGGCCTTATTTAAAGCCCAAACCAAATCAAATCAAATAAAAAAACTAAAAAACTATTATAAGGTGACTCATACCCTAAAATAATTCTTTCGATTTTTCTGAATGTTATGACAATTGTTAACTGCATTTACAATTAATTGTTGCACTCATCACACATATTTCAATTGTCATCATGCTTTTGTTTTAATAAAATTCAAGACAATATTGTTTTAAGGGTAAAGTATAGTAATGGTCACTGAACTTTTCTAAAGCTTTCATTTAGGTCCCCTAACTTTTAAAACTTACAATACAGTCCTCCAACATTTAGTTCATTTACAAGATGGTCCTTGACGTAACCGGCCGTTTGACGCCGTTACACTGTCGTTAGTACGTTTGCAATATGGTCACTAAACTTTTCAACCGTTTTCATTTAGGTCCCCCAACTTTTAAAACTTGCAACACATTCCTCAATTTCATTCTAAACCCCAAATTCCTTTTCGATCTCAAATTTTCTTTTTCGCTTCTCTCTTCTCATTTCCAGCGTAACTTTTCATTCAGGGATGTATGAGAAATTTTAATCTAACTTTGAATTATGTAGAGGTGTTGACTTGAATAAGGGTCCATTGAGAAAAGACCCGACCAATGGACTATCATGACTATCAACGATTCATGGTGTAATGTTAGATACAGGTCATCTCAGGTGAAGCATAGATGTTCGATGAAATGCTTGTGAGAAAAAAATGGGGATAGAAATGCATAGTTGACAAATACTACTAAGATGAACCAAGTATCATTGTTGAAAGTCACCAAAAAAGCTGGAATTATTTTGTATAAATGCCATATAATAATTTCTTCGTTTAATCCTTGTGGTTAAATATTTTCCAACAGATTATCAAATATAATGAAATCCCAAACAGCGTATTCACTTCTTTCGCTCACATGCACTCTCGTTTGGTTTTTGTTATTCAATTTTATGCCATGTAAAATTGTAAACCCAAGCAGTGCTCAGTCTTTTATCTTTTTATTTACAAAGAAAAAATGGAGGAAGAATTGCTGGAACGTAACACCGATTGCGTTTATTTCTTAGCCTCTCCCCTCACTTGCAGTAAGGTATTTATTTTCTCTTTTGGGCAATCCGGAAGTAAGTTTTTTCCTCTTTCGCACTTTCCCATTTTCAACTCGCATTCTGTATTTTTTGTTGAAATTTTTATGTTTCAGGAACTTCATGTCAATGGTCTAGATATTCAGTGTTAGTTTTGAACCAAAACCATCTAATTTTCTTTCTTTCTTCTTAATAAAAACTTTTAGTACTCCTTATGAAAGATATTCAGTCCATCAGAATAGAAGTGAAAGAAGGTCATAGGTGAATTTTTTTTGATATTCTTGTTTGATTTTTCTTTAAATCATAGAATTGGTTGTGAGTATCGACATAGTGAAATTGCCAGGCTCAATCCGAGAGACTGCTGGTACTAGTTTACTGGGAATTGTATTGATTCGACCTATGGTTTTCGGCATCCTATGAGCTCGTATTCTTTTAAATAAGTTAATGTTGATTATGGGACTGATATATCGTGAACAAATTGGATTTTTTACATGTTTTGGGAATTGAGGACTGTGTTGCAAGTTTTAAAAGTTGGGGGACCTAAATGCAAGTGGCTGAAAAGTTCAGTGACCATATTACAAACGTACTAACGACAGTATAATTGTGTCAAACGACCGATTACGTCGGGGACTATATTGCAAATAACTAAATGTTAGAGACTGTATTGCAAGTTTTAAAAGTTGATAGACCTAAATGAAAACTTTAGAAACGTTCAGTGACCATTATTATACTTTACCTTGTTTTAATTTGAAAGATTAATGAGATAGTATCTAAACTTAATGGATGTCAATTTTCGTTAAACTTTTGATTTTAAAGGACATTGTTTTCAAAATAAATTCGAGCGAATCAAGTCATTTTCCAAATCAAAACCATTTTTTTTAACAAATTTCACTCAATTCAAATGAATCAAAGTATCATGCTTTAAATGTGTTTTCAAGTTTGCAGTTTTCGATATTTGGACTTATAATCGTTTAAGTACCGACTCCCGACGCTCTGTGGGTGCTCATACTTCTCCTCGTGTAATTGATTCTTAAACCCTTAAAAACAAATTTCTAGTAAAATTTAGACCTTATTTTTCCTTTAAAAAGATTTTTTTAAAAATTCATTAAAAAGATCTTTTAAGTGTTCGACTTACCTAACTCAAAGGTCGATGACGATTCTAAAACTAATTTTTTTCTTTCTTTCTAAAACCATAATCTTACCCAAATTAAATGGCGAATCGAATCCTTCAGGCTTAAAGATCGTTATGACAATATTATTAAACTAATAAATAATTAATTGATTAAAAAATTGAGGAAAATGGAAAGAAGAGAAAAGGGATGAGTGGGTCCCGAAATTAAGAAATAGAAAGTAGAAAAGCTAAAATAAAAAGGTGCGAGGCACGTCAGCTTCACTCTCCATGTACTAGAGAGCAATAGGGGTGGGGGTTTAGGGTTAAGTCATCCTCCATTGGATAAATGGAAGTGGATTCCACGCCATCACCCATTATTTCTTCATTTCCAATTATGCGACTCAATTGCTGATTGGAGGCAGAGTTCATTAAACACCAAACTCCTCTGCCTCTTCTTTCTCCTCTAATCTCCCATTCCATCGTCTCGCCGCGTCTAATTGCATATGCTGTGTATCCCACCTTTCATTTTCACTCCCATTTTTCTATTTTTATTTTTCATTATTTGCCATTTGGATAACCCAATTTACACAAAAACCATTTCTTCTCTCATTCCCCACAATTTACACGAAAACATAGATTAACAAAATCCAAGTGTCATACTGACCATACTCATGCGAATAGAGACGACCGAATAATTTTATGTTAAGTAAATATTCTTATAAAATTTTAAGAATGACAAACTTATAAAATTTTAAGAATAAAAAAATAGATTATTAATAAAAAATACAAAAATAATTTCTAAAACATACGATAAATTAAAATTTTTAAAGGAGACAATTGTATTGACAATGTGAGAGTATACTCCCAAACCATCTCAAATCATTTTAAATTTGTTAATTTTCTTCATTGGCATTGCAAACTTTAAAATAATTAATATTTAAACTTTCTTTTCGGTCATAATAAACCCTAAACTTTAAACTATAATATTTAAGTTTGGGAGAGTATATATTGATTGATTAATAGATGTTATCATTTCAATCAAAATTGCATCAACTACTAATATATTTACATTTTAAATATTTTGTTCGAATTAAATAAATGGTTAATACTTTTGTTAGTGAATTCAAGTGTGAGCTCTAAAGTAATTAGCATAGTAACGCAGGAGTCCGGACAAGACATTGGATGCATGAACCAGTGTATTAAATGGAAAGATGATTACATCAATAAACAAATGGTGAGTAAAAGACTGCACCCAGAATTTTTTTTTTAAAAAAAAAGGCATTTGCGAGAACTCTAACTTGAAAACTATAATATGATACTATTAGATGGAAATAACAATCGTCTTAAAGCCTTCAATTTACAAGATAAAATTTATCTGTTATATTTAAATTCCAAAAAACATTTAAATGAAAAATTGAACAAAATAATCGTAGAGAGAAAAAGGGAAAAAGGAATCACTAAATGTTGACCTATATCTCAGAGAGTATCCATATCTTAAACAAGGAAATAGAGATTAATGGGGAAGAAAATAGGAATGCAACTGATATCTTTTTTTGGTCTTATAATGGAACGAAATTATAAACTTCTCAAAATTTCAAAATTACCCTTTTTCCTACAAATTGAGATGATGATGCTGGTTAAATTAATATTTAAAAAAACGATTGGTTTCGAGCACCATGAATGTCAGGGGTATGGGGGTTCAATGTTAAATGGTTGAGAGTTATCTTTGAACAGATACTACCTTGTAACTACCCCAAATTAATAAAAAAAAAAACTATTGTTGCACTATTTTTTATTGAATTCATATATAATATGTAAAATACACACACACAAAAAGCTTTTAAAAAATAATTATAAAAAATCGTAACCTAACCCATAATGGAAAAACAATGTATGTAAGAGACTTTAGCATTTTTCTAAAATAGTTCCTTCCATTATTCTATTTTGCTTAATTGTATGCATGTATGTGTGTGTGTATATATATATATAAATATATATATATATTACCATAGTTACCAAGCAAGGCACTAAAGGGAAGTTGGGGTCTGTTACACAGTTAAATGTAGTTTTCATTCTAACCAAAATACAGAAGATTACACAATCATTAATTATATGAACACAAACAAAAGCAAAGCTTAATGCCTAAGGAACCCCATTCCCTAAAGTTGGAATACCATCATTTACACATATTTATATATATACTTTGCCCTATATATAAAAACTGAAAGAAAGAAAGAAGAAGAAAAAAGTACATCTAAAACTATCTAACTTCACAAAGAGAAACACTTCCCTGACCTACTGATTAAAATACACAAAACCATGAATTTCACATATCAAAGAAAGACCAAATCATCACTCTCAAGCATGTAAAACTCAAACCGACCGAATTCAAAGCTTTCTTGTTACCTTTTTCGCAGCAACAATTTTGGATGAAATGGAGATGGGGGAGGTTGATGTCATGTTAGTACGGTCAGTGAAAATCACAAGAGCTTTATAATTTTGTAGTCAAGCCAGAGGGTAAACGATTTAGTTGCGAAATGTGTGTTCTCATGCTACATTCTGTCACCTGGTCATTAGAACAATTAGGTTAAAAACAAGCTATGCACTGTAATTCATATAATAAAAGAAAACAAAACAAACAAAGACGGTACTCACTTGCATAGCAGCAGTTTCTGACAGAAGTTCTTTGCACCGATTAAGTAAAACAAACTCATTTGCACTTATATTTCCAAGTTCTGCCACCAAAGAGTTAAGTTCTGCAACCTAAAACCAATATTAAAGAGAGAAATTAGATGCTCGAAAAGGAAAAACCTAAATCAATAAAGTATGGTTTTATAAAAGATAAAAATGACTTCAAAAAGCATAACCATTGTTATTAAAGTAAGTGAGCTACAGTTACCATTATCATCCAAAACCCAAATGGGAAATTCCATAAGATCAATAACCTAAAGCAAGTAGCAAGACTGGCTCAAACATTCACTTCCAACGTGTGTTTAAATGAGCACACAAGCAATCCAAATAAAACTAACATAAAATCAGTTGGATCACAATTACAAAAATTCACTGAAGAATTTTACGGCAGGAACTGCCAATCCACTTAACTCAAAAGATCATGTGTCAAAGAACAAGCTCTAAGTTTTAAGCTTATACCAAAGGCCAAACTTGGGCAAGTGGTAAATGTCAAGTGACGAAACTTGCAACTTCTTTACTTTAGTTTCTCAGGGATTTTAATAAAATCAACCAAATACCAGGCAAAACATAGCCTGTTATACAGGAGATTCACAAGATCATCATTCGTCTATCATAGCTAATCTTTAAAAGAGGTACATTATTAAATGTAAGAAATCTCTAAACAAAGTCAAACCACTTATACAAGGACTAACATCCAATGAAGAAAGTAGTAAATAGAAGAGTACTCAAGCTTGACATTTTTTTCCAAAAAAATAAAAAATAAAAAACTATCAGGTGGACAGACTTTTTTCAGGTCGCAATGCATCTTATCTAAAACTAGTATTTAGGATAACAAAAGGTTTGTGCACAAAATAGGGACAAAGGAAAATACGAAATCTGCAAATAAAATAGAAAATGAGTGGACGGTGGGGATAGGGGATAAGGATGAGGATGGGGAAGAACCGAAGAAGAAAAGAAAGAATCACCCTTGGCAACAATGAGCATATGGAGGATGCCATTGCCTGCATTACATTGATCGCTGAACAAATTGCATCCTTCAATTTCAGGACATCAGCCTATAAGAATGAAGAGACAAGCTAACGCATCAACAACTGAGATACCACAGATGAAATGACATACACAAAAGTCAAAAGAAGCAATCTACCCTTGACCCACAAACAACTGGAAGGCGGAGCGTGCTAGCCTTCAAAGCTTCAGTAGCCCCAGATAATGAGCTGCAATATTCATGGTCCAGCAGGGCCCATTTGTCCAAAAGAATCATCTGCAGTCACCAACAAGAATAATGTATACTGTAGTAGTCAATTGATGACAAAGCATCTGATAGCATGAACCTGAAACATGCAATTCAAAGCAGATACTGGAAAGTCATAAGAAAATAAATTTCAGGTTTCTTGAAATGAAGTGAAAGTTAGCAATGTATACTGAAGTGGTTAGGCATTCAAGTTCCAGTTTTAAGCAGAATAGAAGAGGAGGCGGGGAAAGAGAGACATCAAGATCGAGCAAAACAGAGAAGTCTAAACTTTGAAATGCAATGCCTTACAAAGAAAACCTAGTGATAAATGTGTTAAGATCTACAAAGTGATGAGTTACCATAAAACAACCCAAGAAAACATAAGTCAACAAGAAAGAAATCCACTAGAGAGATGGTTCTTACTTGCCCCTTGAGGATGGAAATCAGCTTCAAGTTTTGCCTCAGCAACTGTAACTCAGTTCTTTTGGCTCTAACAGATTCCAGCAGTTTTGAGGTAGTTGTCCATGCATTATAGAGGCTTTTCTGGTACAATAACACGATGACAACAATTTTGTTCATTTAGTTTCTTGAGTTTCCAATGAAATTTTCTGAAATTCCAGGCAGTTGGTGCAACAAATATTACATGTAGCCAGGCTATGTTCATACAAATTTAACATAATAAAATCCACATATATAAATTGCATTGTCATCAATGCAAGGCACTTACGTGCTAAAACCCTATTTTGCCTGAAAACAGATCTAAGGCGCTTTGTTAAGACTCCCATAACAAAATCCACATACAAATTTGACAGTCTTTTTTCACCTATAACCTAGGAAAAGAGCATGTCTAGCACCAGACATTCAATTGCGTTTGGCTTTAAAGATATAAAGGAAATAAATCTTAGTCATAATCCTTGACCAGTAATGGCATGCAATATTTACTGCTGCGAGTTGTACAACCAAATTACGGTAATGGTGAATTCCTAAGTGTGTTGTGCTACATGCAAAACTGAAGCATAAAAAACTCAGCAGTATAGTAGCACATACATCAAGCAATTATAATGGCCAATCGCCAGAAGAGAAATTCAGTCAAATCTTAGTCATACCTCAGCATTAGACCTCTGGGAAGACAAAACAACATCTACTTTGGCATTAACAAAACGCCACTGCAACAACCGGTTATGAAGTAGCCTCAAAAAATGAGCATTCGAAACCTTGTTCTCCCCAATTTTACCAGTCTTAATAACATCACCAGCAAAGCTCAAAATCGAAGGAGTATTTACCAAACTACCAACCAACCCATTCCTCACTCTAGATGGACTCATTCCCCTCAAAGGAGACGAAGTTAAGGAAGACGCCCCAAGCTTACTCGGTGATGCAGGGCGAACAGGCCCACGAATTGGCGATAACTGTTGTCTTCTGTTCATTACACCTTTGGGAGATGACAAAGGATGGTCAGTTCCAAACTTATATGGTGCAATTAGCTTAGAAGGCGCTTTATTCTTACTAAAAACCGGCGACTCAGAATCAGAGCGGCGAAAACGAGCAGTTGTCTCTTGCCAGAACCGAGCAGGGACAATTATTCTCCGAGGCTCACGCTTAACATCTCCATTACCGTTACAAGGACTCTCTAAAGCTTCTGAAGTACAAACAGAAGAAACACTTTCAGTATCAGAATCTGTGGGATTAGATTGAACTTCGGATCCGACAGCTGTTAAATCCCTGTTATCAATCATGGAATTTTGTTGCGCCCTAACTACATTTCTGTTAACAGATCCGTTTAATCTCTTCCTCTCGTTGGTGCAATCCACGCTTCTAGTCATGGAATCCTGTTGCCTTATCCTCGCCGGCCACCTCTCCGTTTTTGAATTCTCCATTTGATCTGTTCCTCTTACCGTAGTCGTTGCCACCGTTGGCTTCCGCCTCTCCGGCGTGCCTTTCCTAGCGGGGCTTGGAAATGGAGATGGTTTAGCTTTGCTAAACTGATAGGAAAACGACTCTCCTTGAAATGAAACGGATAAGCTTCTCGTCGAAGTGAAGAGCAACTTCTGAGCAGCTGATGATTCGCCGCCGTTTTTGTTGTTGTTGATGTTACTGTTCAAATCCGTAGAATTATAACGCTGCGGCGTCACAGCCCGTCTCTGTTCCACTGATTGCGACCGCTTGACAGTCGACGAAGTCGCGTGCTTCGGTGTTGTAATGGTTGTCGAATGGGAATAAGATCTTGAAACCGACGGCGACGTCGAGGGACACTGTTTGGTGGAAGCTTCAGAAGAAGATGAGGATGACGTAGAAGAATTAGATGATAACGACGAGGACAAATAACGGGAAGTGACTTCTCGGTGTTTTAGACGGCGTGGAGCCATGGCATTGTTGGAGTCGGAAGGCAATAACAGAGGCCGTGACCCTCCGTTCCGTTTGGAGTTTACCGTTGCGGACACTGCAGCTACCAATACCATGGCGAGCACTCACAAAATCCAATTTCACAGTCTAATTCTTTATTTCTATTCTCATCCAAACCCTAACCGTATCTATTAAACACCCCCCCGGCGCGAAAATTCACAATAACAACAAAAAGTAATAAAAGAGTTTAGAGTTAATTAAACAATTTCCAGAGAATAATAGAAATTCCTTTCTTAAACCTTAAAGTGTGAATTTTGGAAAACAAAACAAAAGAAGAGCCGAAGAAGGACCGTTGAAGATCCGACGAGAGGTGAGAAGAGAAGAGGGGAGTGTTAAGTTTGCAGGAGTATAACGGTCGTTCTAGCTATTTTTGTGCTTGGATGTTGCCACTGGAGATATATAATATGAATAATATATATATATATATATAGATTTTAGGTAAAAATATGCTACAGACCCCTGTACTTTTTGAACGTTAGGAATATAGCACACCTACTCATTTTTCTTGCCTCTGTTATAACTCTGTACAATATAGTTTTTTTTTTTATTTTAAATATGTTACAATATAGTATTTAAGTGAGAAAAAATACTAAATTTTGTAAATATCAAGTTTGGTGCTTTAGCATTGTATTCTAAAAAATGTTTTTGAGTTAAAAATAATTTTGTGATAATAAGTAATGTTAAATAAATTACTTAAAAATAATGTTTGAAAAACACTTCTTAATCACAATATAAAAGTAAAAATATTTTTTTTGCATTGAAAAGTATTTTTAGAGTTAATCACAATAATAAGTATTTTTTCGTGCTCGTACTCCTGACATTTTTTGTGCTCAAACTCAAGACCTCAAGAATAATAACAATTCATTTACCATTGAGGTCACTTGGTTCATGCTCGTGAGTTAAAATTTGAATACATTATAGGTGGTTTGTTTAACCTTTTTATTATGTGAATAGAAGCATCCGATTATATTAAAAAGGAAGAAATTTCCAAAATTAGTATAAAAATTTATAATTATAACGTTAATTAAACACGTAATTATGATATTTTTTATAATCATTAACATAAAAAAATTAGTCATTTGTGGTCATTTAGGGATCAAAGAAGGAAAAAGTTAAAAATTAATCTAAAAAACTCGAATAAAATATAAATACAAACAGATCTGACTACACTGGCAACAAATCACAATAAGAGATCAAACTATTGAAATATCACCAATAATCGTAAATCAGAGTTGAACATTGTGAGAAAACTATCTCAGAACACAAAATGTGTATCCAAATCCACCCAGAGTGTCTAAAGCAGGGAATATCAATAGGATAATAAATATATAAGCATAATATTGATCAGTCGATACAGAAACAAATCCAACCCTCATAAAAAGTAAAGACACTAACCAAAATTATCGATAAAAAAGTTTAAAATCGTGTCAAAAGATAGAAGAAAATGTGACATAAAGATAAAATTATTAAAATTAAAAAATAAAAAAAATTAAGAAATAATGATGAACAACGACTAATACTAAAATTAAAACCATCGGCCAACAAAAAAAAAAGACAAGCCACATAGAAAATGAGATAACACTAGTACTGCTGCTATTTTCCTATTTTTATATTAAATCATCTAATCTTATTCACAAACACAAATGTAATTTGTATTTTTATTAATCTAAGGTAAATACGAGGTAGTATTTGTTCGAAAATAACTCTCAATCATTTGATATTAAATGTTCATACTCCTGATATTCCCGGTGCTCGAACACAAATGCAATATTAAATATCTTAAGAAAGAATTAATGCAGCTATTGCGTACGGTGGTTCAAAGAATTAATGCAAAATGTTTGATACATTTTAATACTTTCTTATAATTATATCAGCATTACATTATTTTCACGACATAAAATAGTACTTATTTACAAAATACTTATTACATTATCATCTTCTAAAATATAATATCAAACTTCGAAGCAAGTTTTTGATATCAAATCAGCTCCATAACGCATTTAAGGCCTTTTCTTTCATGGGGTCCTAAAGGTTATTTTGTTTATGCATCACTCAAAGAACCAAAATTGATTCGATGAACCACCCACAGAGTAAAAAATCCCCACAGATGAGAATGACATTTTTGAGGCACCAACACATGCTTCTACAAATTCCCTCAAAGGACCACCAATATAACAAAACCAACTTTCCTTATGGGGCACTCAACACCTTCCCCTTTTGCACCCACAAAAAAAAAGTATTATCAATTTACATATATTAGTTATACAAGGATCAAATTGTTCCCAAAATTAAATCAAAATTAAATGCCTCGTTGTTCAACTTTAATTATTTTTGCCGAACTTTTATGCACAATTTCATAAAAAGAAGGTTTAATATAAAAAAATTGTCCAAACTATATATATTTTACTATTCAGGTGTCTAGACTATTTTTCCGGTTAATATGAGTGTCTAACGTTATAAACATTATCATTTTAGGTTTCTAAACCGTAACGGTCGTTAAAAAATGTCATGAACCACTCAAAATACGACATGCGACACATTTATAAATTTTTTATTAAAAAATTAAAATCATTACTATTTTTAAAAAAAATCTTCAAATATTCTAAAAACCCTTAATCTCAAAGTATCAACCCCACTCATCAATCATCTCGTACAGTTGCTACCCCTTCGGGCGCCCGTAGCTTCAATCCCCAAATTCCTAAACACAAACCATAAATTCTTAGATCCCAACACACATCTATTCCAATCGACATTTGAGTAGTCGACAAATGAGTGGGTGATCGATGGCAGTGATGGTGGTTAATGACAAACTTGAAGGTCTTAGGGTATTTTTTGGAAAAAAATAAAAGGTTTAGGGATTATATTTTGAAAATTTATATTTTTTTTAAAATTTAAAAGAAATAAAAATCAAGTTAGGTGTTAAATACTGATAGGGTGGTTGATTTTTAACGATTTTTTCAACGATCGTGATGTAAACACTTAAAATGATAATATTTGTAAAATTAGACATCTACATTAATAAAAAAAAGTTTAGAAACCTAAATTAAAAAAAGATATATAATTTAAAAAAAATTGTATTAAGACTAAGAAGATATTATTTTAGAATTAGCAAGGAAGTATTAATTAGTCACTTGAAAGAAACAATTGATGAAAGCAATGGGGTTGGGGAATAATTATGAAATATGATGATGAACTTTTTTTATCAAACATTATTCATGGCCAAGAAGAAACAGATGGTTAATCATATAATAATTAAGCCAAGTTACATGTCCTTCCTTGGAAATGTAATCAAATAAATTGCAAATTGCCCCCACTTCACACCACAAAGAGAAGCAAAACACCTCATAGGTTATTATGATTTAGCCAAAAGCATCCATCTTTTTCTTAGATGCTCCATGTCCAATTCCTCTTCCCCCTTGCTTTTACTCTCAAGTGTTCGAAGCTTTTGTGGTACATTGATAAACATGGCGATGGGAATAACTTTATCTTATCGTTCGTTGATAATTTTTTTTAATTTAAGCGAAGAGCTATGGTTGGTGAGGATTTGACCATTGATCAATATTTCTATGTGAGAGAGATTAAGACATAAAAAGAGAATATGAGAGTGAAGGAGAAGAAAGTGGCCAATGACCTTAAATGACCATGCTAGTCATAACATTATTATAGTTACTTGTAGGTCAACAAACTAAACATATTTAGTCATCAAATCTTGGATTTTAGTCTACCAGATCATGTGAACATGTTAAAGATATTGTCTATGTACTGAAGTTGACTCGGATGATATGAATTTCTTGGAAGCTCTAGTAAAAAAAAGTCTTTTTAAAAGTCTTGATTGATGAAAAACTAACAATTTCCAAAGATCATCTTCGAAAATATAACAAAACGAAATCCCAATTTCATACAAAAAAAACAAGCGTATCTCGTCTCTTTGCTTGTAGTGGAAGCCGAAAATATTTAACATAAATCCTATTGGATTGAAACCCGTAATTAGAGTTTACTCCAATGCTTGTTCTCTCCAATGATTTAGAAACAATGCTCTTTCTCATTTAATAGGAAGTTTTATCAATATGAATGAGCGAGCAATATGGAAAGCGATTGACAAAGACATGAATTGGGTTAGAGTTTAATCTGTGTGGTGTGAACTGACATCTGCCAAAAATATAGCCAACCGGAGATGAAAGTAAGCTAAAAAGATGGCAACTTAAAAACTTCCTGCCTTGAGCAATACTTCATTTTTATAATTGGAGTTAAAGTAAGTAAACCTTAATTTAGTGTTTTTAAACCCCAACATGTGGTAGGCGTAGCTGAATATGATTTTGGTTTGGTCCCCATTGCTTTGTTGATTATGATGTCTACTTTCCGCTCTGCAGAGTGCCTAAACCCAGGGGAAATAAAACAGTGGGGATAAGATGGGACAGAATGGAAACACTCGCCTTTTTTCCCAAACTCTTTATCATGAACCTTCAGTGCAACTTTGGCTAGGAAGTTGAGAGATGTTGATTTGATGGATCAATATGTTGGTCCATATGAAAGAAACAAAACCAAGATGGTAATGGTAATGAAATTAACTTGAAGAAGAAGGAATATTTTCTTTTTGAACAATTGGAGTTTGGTTGTGCATTTGGTCACCATTTCTTTTATATCTCCCAACTGACAACTTTTCATGGTTAGCTTTAGGTCTTTTAGTAAGCAAGCTGTCCTCCTAGGATGGCACTACGATTCTTTTTCCATCCATGCTTTATGCTTATTTTGTCATGGTTGGTTGCAGGGCCGACCCAATACATGTGCCAGATGGGTGACGGCCCAGGGAAGCATGTAGGGGCGACGGCCCAGGACAACATATAGGGGCGACGGCCCAGGACAACATATAGGGGCATCAGTTTTGCTAAGTTCCCTGTAGCCACAAAGGTAATTTCAGGTATTGTTGTGCCTCTATACTCATCCCTAAATCAACGCAGACGGGTCCCTCCAGGAAGAATCCGACTGAAAACGGCTGTAAAAGCGTCGAGCCCGGCCCAGGCGCGGCCACTGGCTCGTCTCTCGGCCTGTACTCGTCGAAGCAGTTCGAGCTCACCGCTCAAAACGTGGACCTGGTTCTAGAGGATGTGAGGCCTTACTTGATCTTCGATGGTGGCAACGTCGACGTTTTGTCCGTCGAAGACGGCGACGTCTCTCTCAAACTCCTAGGTCACTCTTTTTTATCTTCGTTTCATGATTTAATTATCCATGTGCTTTTGGCTAATGTAGAGTTGATCGAGTTTCAGGAGCATGTGAGAGCTGCCCTAGCTCAACAACTACCATGAAAATGGGGATCGAAAGGGTTTTGAAAGAAAATTTTGGGGATGCAGTCAAGGAAATCCGGCAAGTGTACGACGATTTAGTGAAGGAAACAACCGTCGAGGTGAATTTTCTATACCAAACTTGAGATTCGTCGAAAATAACAAAACAAAGATTATTCATCTAAATTGAAATTTCTTTGGAATTCGCGAGTAAACAGGCAGTGAATCGTCATCTTGATATACTGAGACCAACTATCAAGAATTACGGTGGGAGCATTGAAGTATTTTCCATTGATGGAGGGGAATGCGTTGTGAACTACATAGGTCCCGAATCGATTGGATCGGGAATTAAAGCCGCCATTAAAGAGAAGTTCCCAGATATCACCAATATTTTATTAACCTCATAAAGCTTCATTCTTTATATCAGAAGCTGAAAAGTTTTGATCTTTTTATGTGCATTCTTGCCTATATTCATATTTCACTGCCTGTTAAATGACAATTTGATTGTTCCATGTTGGTTGCGCTTGGTAGGGCTTGATAGGATTACTTGTCAAGCTTTCTTCCAGGTCTTTTGTAGCTTTTAGCTAATTTTTTTATGAGCTAAACATAAGCAGCACGTTGAAAGATGTTTTGTCTAATTATGACCTCTCTCATGGAATATCTTCTCCATACTTGGTTGATGGCAATTGCAATAAGGTTTTCATCTTACAGTGGACTTATCTGAATGGATTTCCATTTTGGTTTGTAATGGATGAGTGTTTATTTTGAGTCTACCCTTGTAGCGAACAACAATTTTTTTCGGATAGGGGCATAAAATTATTATATCGCCCAGGGCATTAAAACTCATTGGATCGGCCCTGGTTGGTTGCCTTCTGAGTTACACTCTAAAGCAATTCTATCCTATCAATGGTCAAAATATACCCCCATAAAAAATAAAAAAAGCCAATTTCACCTATCAACTTTACACATGGAAAGAGCATTGCGTAACTGAAATAATTTAGGGTGTCCCTTTTCATTAAAACTTAGACGGTCTTTTTAATTGAACGTTACTCTATTGACTAGGATATGATAAAATCTGATCTTGGAATTGTTTAAGGTGTATTTTATGGACCGAGTCTCCGATTATATTATACCGTTGAGCTAATACTTGAAGCATTATATTGTTGAACTAGTGTTTAAAAGCAACGACAATGCTAGTAAATATCATTAAAATATAATTTTATCACATCTCAATCAGTAGGTTAACGTTCAACTTAAACGACCATTAAGTTTTAATAGAAAAGGAAGATTTTGAAACATCTGAATAGTCGGGTGAGCATTTTGTAACTTTTAATAGTATGGGGCTTAACAAAGTAATGCATTGTAGTTGGGGGATCATTTTATAATTTTTAATAGTTGGGGGACTTAATAGAGCAACACCTTATAGTTGGGGACTATTTAATTACTTAATCATTTAAGGATATTTTTAGAATAAAACCATAATAGAATTAACCAAAGATAACGCCAGTTACAAGAACATTATATAAAGAAGAAGGATAATCATAAGTGAACTCCAGTGTTGTCGAAGTGGTAGAAGTAAGTTGAGCCAAGGTATGAGCCACAATATTAGCATATTGTCACGGACCGCGACCATGAGGGCGAGTCCAACATCCACCAGCACACATCCGTGCGCACAAAATCACTCCCAGGCCCAGACTCATCAGGCGGCGTGCCAAGTCTTCCCCAAAACGCACCAAGGGATGCACCAAGCCCGCGCCAAAATTAAATAAGGCCGAGCACGCCATGACTATGGCCATCTCCAAGCCAAGACTGACCCTCTCTAAGAAAATGGACAAACCAGCCGTCATTGTTTAAGTATGATTCAACCTTTATATTTTTAACTAAAGTAGGGATATACTTTTAGTTAGAGTAGAAGTAGACTTATTCATTAACTCTTAGGGGATTCTCGTTATAAAAGGGGGCCTCCCATCCCCATTGTATTTATTCATTCTTTCTCTTAGAAATAAGACTAACTCGACTTTCAAGCCAAATACTCTCGTGCATATCTTATTTTCGTTCATACTCATTTTGTTCTTATTTTCGCAATAAGTTAAGCAACCAAACTTAGTTTTCAAGGATGCCTTAGCGTCCAGCAACTGATCAAAGTGACTAAGGGCCGCACAGACCAGTTAGCCAACAATCTAGCCCCGTGTCAAGTGATATCAAAGCCAAGTTCATGACTAGATGAGATGGTTTCATAATGTGGTGAGGCAGCAACATTCGAGGGCATTGAGACTCGCAATGCAGAGAAGAAGTGAGGAACGTCGAAAGACATGCTCGCATCGTTCCAAGTTAAGATCACTATACTTGAAGACTATGCGAGAGAGATCAGAGAGGTTTTTTATCTGTTAAAATCCATCAATCTTGAGAAGCTGAGATCACTAGACCTCGAGAAGCTTGAAGCCTTAAAGAACATCCAGGATGATGTACAAGCGACACTCAATGGATTCAATATGAAGAGTTCTTAATAAGAAGATGTTGTTGAAGCCCAAATTCTAGCTCTAAGACAAGAGGTCGAAGAACATAATAATAAGGATTCCGGGACCGAAGTCGAAAACCTGAAGAAGGAGATCGAGCAACTTAAGACTGAGGTAGCCTTTTGCAAGGCTATCGTGGCTGGCAACATGCTGACCAGCGCCCTCAAAGGCCGGGCCGAAGTCCCTAAACCTAAAAAGTTTAAAGGGACCAGATCGGTCAAAGATGTGGAAAACTTTATGTGGGACATGGATCAATACTTTCGAGCCATGGGCATCGAGAATAATACTGAAAAGGTAAACATTGATTCTATTTACTTAACGGATTTAACACTCTTATGGTGGTGACGTAAGTGTGCTTAGATGAAATAAGTCGACACCACCATGGGAATCTGGGAAGAGTTTCAGACTGAATTCAAAGAACAGTTTTACCCTCATCATACCGAGAACGAGGCATGATCAAAACTAAGGCGCCTTAGGCATTAAGGCCCACTTAGGGAGCACGTTTGACAATTTGTCGAGTTAAGCCTTTAAGTCCCAAGTCTAAGTAAAGAGGACGGGTTCTTCACCTTCATGGATGGGCTGAAACGTTAGTGAAGAATGAGCTAGAACGTCGAAGAGTCAATGATCTCACCAAAGCCTTGACTATCGCCGAGTCACTTATAGAACTTAGGGTTCAGAAGTATGTCTCCTCTAAATCAAAACATAAAGCCAAAGGTGAAGATAAGGAAAAGTCATTCAAAGGAAAATCAGACAAAGAATCGAGTGGTCTTGGAAAGCCATTGAATAACAAAACCCAATAAGGGGAAAAGAGAGAAAAATAGTCCATCCAATGCTACAATTCCAAGGGTCATTGACACTTGGCTAGGGAGTGCCCTTAAAAGAATCAACTTTCTTCCGTCGAAGGAACTGATGAGTGTAACATCCTCAACACCGGGTTAGTGACCAAATTGTAAAACTTCAGAATTTAGTGACTAAAGTAGATAAATTAAACAATTAAAGGACTTATATAGAAATTTTTTTGTAGGACTAAATAACAAAGAATGATGAAAAGATAAAATGGATATTTGATCAACTAATGAATTAAAAATCTGATATGGTGAGGATATATACACGTGGAGATAGGTAAAAGGGGGAAAAGGAAAGATTTCTCCAGAGAACTCTTCTTCTTCTTCCAGCCGTGAACTACCATAACAAATGTGAGTTTATTATGAGTTTATCATTTGTTAAATTTAAGTTTGGTTTATGATCCTTAGATGATATTTAAGTTTAAGGAAAGCTTAAGCTGTCTTAAAACTATATGATGAAGGGGTTAAGAAGGATTAAAGATAAGGGGTTTCTAAATGAAATCTTGGGAGAGAGGTAGTAATTTGATTTTGAGACTAAATTTGACTTGTCCTCAGCTAAATTAAGAAGTATGAAGTGTTAGAATTGAAATTAGAACATGTTGAAAAATTGGTAGGATCTTGATTTCAAGACAAAGGGTGAGATCTTGAAGATAATGATGGTTTATATGTATATAAGTTGATTTGAGTAACAGTAGTTGAGTTTAATGGCATAATAGGAGCTTAAAAGGGAAGGTTTAGATTAGTATTGGTGAATTTTCAAATTGTAAAAGTGAATTCTGGGCTATGAGTATCGGTACTTCTTCATCTAGTAATGATACTTCAAGGGCAAATGAATGAAATTTGGAATAGATGTATCGATACTGGTTTAACAGTATCGATACATAAGCCCAAAATTGACAAGTTATTCATGAGTTATTGATACCTGAAGGGTAGAATCGATACCAAGTGTATTGATATCATAAGGACAGTATCGATATCATTTTGAAATAAGAATTACATAATCGAAAATGGGTATTGATACCTAGTCTTGGTATCGATACCACAACTAGGGAAGTATCGGTACCATACTTTGGGTACATATACTAGTCCAAATGGAAAATGGAATTAATCATTTCTTTTAGCCTAAGAAATTAAGGATCGAATCATGATATTTGGAATGCTGATATGTATATAAAATGTATAATTGTGTAGATATCGAGCACAAACAAGTTCCGGAACGACCGAAAAGTTAGGAACGATCAAGAAAGAGAAATTAAGTCCTAGAAGTGATTAGGATCAAGTGAAGCAAAGGTGAGTGCATACTATAGATGTAGTTTTATGGAAATAAGACTTGTGATAAGTCTATTTCCTATGTTGATTTTTACGGTCCAATAGTTATGAACATGCACATATTATGATCATTATAAACACATGCATAAGTGATATGTGTTTATATGTTTTGATACATACTATATGATCTATGTGAGCATAATCAAATAACATATGTTATATGATATGAGATTGATGATTATATGTACATGTGATATGAGACAAGAGATAATACATATGTGATTATAAGAGAAATTACATGAGTACATGAATATGTGGTGAAGTAATGATTATATGAATATATAGAGCATAATGATAAGACCCATATTATGTGATATGAGAGCTATAGGTATAGTTGGCATGCCAAGAGTTGAGGGTTACATAGGTCATTCGGGATATATACATGAGGTCCTTCGAGACAAATTTCATATGCCACTAAATGGGAATTATACGAGTTGTGGTGACAACATATGTGCACAACCTTAAAGTACTCACATACCTTAAGTTCTCAATAATATACATGTGCACATAAAATATTTAAAAGAGTTTACTTTCTTATAAGATATTATGTTATTATTTGTTAATAATATATCATATGTGATATTCTTAAATAGTGAATTTATAATTGTGATGATAAATGAAATGATTGGATTGCATGTTCATACATTAAGAAATGCATTATTGTATTTTATGTCTCACTAAGTCTATGACTTAGCGTGTAAGCATTTTACACGTAGGTACTGAGAAGCAGGAGGATCAGACCTAGATTTAGCAGAACAATATACCTC